GCCTTCGGCTCAGGTCATGATCCCAGGGTCTTGGGATCGAGCCCCGCATCGGGCTCTCTGCTCAGTGGAGAGCCTGCTTCCTCCTCTATCTCTGCCTGCCTCTCTGCCTACTTGTGATCTCTGTCTGTCAAATAAATAAATAAAATATATAAAAAAAAAAAGATCTGCCACAGTTTATATAAACTGTTCTCCCATCAGGGGACTTTTATATGTGTAGTTTTATATTAACAGGTAGTAGGGTGTGTTGCTCTTATCCTAATGGCTATGTGTGTTTTGCCTTAACCTTTTGGTCTTCCCCATGCTGAAATATACAGTCATTTCAACCATGCGTTCTGATTGAGTTGTTTGCATTTAAGTCGTCGGTGCATCTGAAATTCATTGTGGTATATGGTGTGAGATAGGGTTCCTCTCCACCCCACCCACTCCAACCCAGTGGCGAAATAGGAACATCTATAGAATAAGTTGTCCTCTTTCCAACTATTTTCAAGTACCAGTTTTTTTTTTTTTTTTAAAGATTTTATTTATTTATTTGACAGACAGAGATCACAAGTAGGCAGAGAGGCAGGCAGAGATAGAGGAGGAAGCAGGCTCTCCACTGAGCAGAGAGCCCGATGCGGGGCTCGATCCCAAGACCCTGGGATCATGACCTGAGCCGAAGGCAGAGGCTTAACCCACTGAGCCACCCAGGCGCCCCAGATCCCTCTTTTTTTAAAGATTTTATTTTATTTATTATTTGAGAGAGAGAGAGAAAGAGAGCACAAGCAGGGTGAGGGACAGAGGGAGAAGTGGACTTTGGGATTCAATCCCGGGACTCCAGGATCATGACCTGAGCTGAAGGTAAGACACTTAACTGACTGAGCCACCCACACACCCCTAAACTGTGGCATATCTTAAAGTCACCATTAAAAAGGATGGGATAAAATAAATCTGAATACAACACTAATCCAGGAAGTGGAAAAAGTGCAAGTTTTGGAAAAATATGAACAGCATGATGCCATTTTTATTCAAGAATGAAGAAAAAATTTAAACCAAAATATGTATAACTACACAGAAAAGGATACTTATATGCAGAAACAGGTAAAAAGTTTACTATTTAAACTATTAAGTGATAAAGTCAGGTAATGGACTAAGAGTGATTAACTCTCTAAACTATTAAGTGATTAACTGAGGTAATGGACTAGAGAAAGAGTAAGAACCCATCTTTTATTCTGTGTACTTTTGCAATGTTTGAAATTTTATAAACTTACATTCATATACTTACATATTAAAATTACAAAAAGCAATCTATATCCAATAGTATAAAAATCTTAAAAGAAACCTGACTAGTAAAAAGGCAAAGAAAAAAAGCCTAGAAAAAACTTATTCACTTCATGTTAACAGTACTTTCATTTATAATGAGTTCTGACAAATCAACAAGAAAAATATTGTAGAAACCTAATAGAAAAATGAGCAAAGGGCATGAATAAATCAAAGCAGACCAAAAAAAAGTTCAGCTTCACTGATAATTAAGGAAATGTAAATTAATATAGGACATCATTTTTAACGCATCAGTTTATAAAACTTCTTTTTTTCCCAAAGATTTTATTTATTCATTTGAGAGAGAAAAAAGAGAAGCATGTGCACAAGCAAGGGGAGTGGCAGACTCCCCACTGAGCAGGAAGCTGGACCTGGCTCAATCCCAGGACCCTGAGATCACAACCTGTGCAGAAGGCAGACACCCAACAGACTGAGCCACCAGGGCCCCAGTGTTAATAAGAGTAGGATAAAGAGCAGCTGAACCTGGAGGTGTAGTTGTTGAACTCGGAGGCATAGTCATATGAGGAGACTCGGGTTCTGAAAAAATTAATTTGTTTCAATTCACCAAATTTATCAATACAAAATTATGGATTTAATTTTGATTTTAAAAGATTATTTCTCAAAGTGAAAAATACTTACCTTTTAAACTTTGTAATTCTATTTCTGGGAATTTAACCTAAATATCTATTTGCACAAGTACATGAGAATGTATGTTTAACATTGTTTGCTATAGCTTTGTATTTTAAAATGGAAATCCTGGAAGTTAACTGACAATAAGTCATACAAATAATGGAGTTCAGAGATAGCAACTTCGAAATCTGGAAGATATTTCCTTCCAACCATAGCAAAATAATCTTTCTGGTCTTAAGCACAGTAGCTTAGCAGCAGAACTGGCAAGAAATCCCTCATTTCATTTCAATGAATAAGGACTTTTACTGCCTTCAGTGGCTATGAAATTTATTTTCTATTCCTAAATAAAAATGCCCAGTAAAAAGAAAAGAATAATTCTATGAAACAAGGAGTTTGGTGGGGGTGGAGAATGGAAATACAGGTCTTACTCTGGAGATAGCAGAAATGCCCCAGTTTAAACTGTGCTACAAAAACAAAACAAAACAAACCAATACCAGCACCCAGCACCAACACCAACTTCAACACCAACACTGAAAACCAAACTCAACTGGTTGCAGTCCCAGCAACTGAAACAGTCCTGGACCAGGAAGACACCCTAAAAGACCCGAGAGATCCCTTTTACAAAGAATAAAACAGCAAAGTAAAAGACACAGAAAATACATGCGTTAAAAACAGAAGACAAGGACCTTCCTCTTCACTAATACTCTTCGAGTGATGTCATATGAGCTACCTTTAGGAGCTTCCCATATGCGAGGCACTGTGCTTTTTCAAATGAATCCCATGAAAAGTTTACCATCACTCACTAGGGAAGGCATTAAAATCATTTTACAAATACATACACATTTAGGAGTCCATAACTTGCCCACGTTTACATACCTATTTCTATCTGTATGCTATGGCAAATGCATTTTTGGGACTGTTAACAACTTAAAAAGGATATGTTCTTCCTCCTTTCATTACTGAGCATAATGAGTGCATGTAAAACATTAGAGATTCAGATGATTTTGAAAAATATAAGCAGGAAGGTACTAAACCTGAGACACTTGGAATTGGAGGTTTTGTACTGGGAGGAGTCGATACTGGAAAACAAAATAATGTAGATGCATCAAATGACTGGGAGTTATTGCTGGCATGTGCATCAGGAATTTAAAGGATTTTTGGAAAAGACAAGCAGGAAGTTACTAAACCTGTATGATTCAAAATCGGAGGACTGGTACTAGAAGGAATCAGCACTGGAAAAAAAATAATGTAGACTTGATCAGCTTGATCAGACTTGATTTTTGAAAAATACAAGCAGAAAGTTCCTAACCTGTATGGTTCAAAATCGGAGGACTGGTACTGGAAGGAATCAGCACTGGAAAAAAATAATGTAGACTCGGAATTATTGCTTTCTTACCATTTTTATGAAACATACCTTTCACTCTTAACTTATTTAAGTAAAAATTTCCATGCTTCAGTTTTCTGAAAAATGGCTGCTATTCATTTTTTTTTTTTTTAAGATTTTTTTTTTTTATTTATTTATTTGACAGAGATCGCAAGTAGGCAGAGAGGCAGGCAGAGAAAGAGAAGGAAGCAGGCTCCCCACTGAGCAGAGAGTCCCATGCGGGGCTCGATCCCAGGACCCTGGGATCATGACCTGAGCCGAAGGCAGAGGCTTTAACCCACTGAGCCACCCAGGTGCCCCAATTCAGTTTTGCACATAAAAAAAGCCAAATGAGGGGCGCCTGGGTGGCTCAGTGGGTTAAGCCTCTGCTTTCGGCTCAGGTCATGATCTCAGGGTCCTGGGATCGGGCCCTGCGTCGGGCTCTCTGCTCAGCGGTGAGCCTGCTTCCCCCTCTCTCTGCCTGCCTCTCTGCCTACTTGTGACCTCTCTCTCTGTCAAATGAATGAATAAAATCTTTAAAAAAAAAAAAAAAAAGCCAAATGAGGAATGTATATACCTCTGTGACATACCTAACATGCAAAGACCCTATGAAAACAGAAAATTACACAGCAGAATTCTTTTGTGAATTCTGTCATACATCTGTCAGGGAAATGAATACAAGACAGAGTTAAATACTAAAATTGCTTCTATTCAACTATTTGGTATCACTGCTATTTAATGTCGAGGAAACAGAATTAAAAGGGAAAAAAAAAGACAAAAAGGCAAGTGACACCCACTGTACCTTTAAGACACGTTGGCTTCGCAGGCTCCCAAGTACTGTCACTACCACAGACTGCTATGTTCTCACCCTCATGGTAATAACCCGGGTAGCATTCAAATGTGACTGTTGCTTTGTAGTAGTATTTTTTGCTGAATCCTGATAACAGACGTCCATTTTCAGGGTCTGGAAATGGACATTTGACGACTGAAATGTAAAGAAAGTCCAGAATTAATGGAAAGTGCTTGAACACAGGAACAGAAGAAATGGTACGAAGTAATTTCCTGCCAGAAGAGACATATAAGGAATGAAAGGCAAGGTGTTAAATAAAAGAAAACTTAAAAACACCGAAGAAACCTGTATGCATATAAACATTTTAAAGCCCTTGGGAGACAGATTTAGAGAAATCTAGTAACTTTTTTCCACCCAGAAAGACTAGCATTATAGTTTACTGGCTTTCCTGTATTTTTTCCCATTACTGACAAGGCTTGAGAAAGCCTGACCGCCACATACAAATCTGGGGTAAGTTCAACAGCAACTTTAAATCCCCCTCTGTTCTAGGGATTTTTTGCAAGGTCTTGTTGACACTGCTTTTCTAGAAAGCTGGGGAACACCTTCTGAGAAGGCAATACTTGAGGTCAAAGTTAAAAGTTGAAAAGCAGGCAGCCATGCAAAGAGATGCAAAAAGGAAGTTCTCAGGTAGCAATAACATACACAAATGGAATGTTCAAGAAATGCAAAGGCCAATGGAGTTAGGGCAGCGTTTTCCAAACATCTTGGCCGGCAATCCAGAGATCAAACAACACACTTCTTGATGTAAATGAGCAAATAAATATACTTGCTCAGTATATGAGCACACAGGCCTGAAATACAAGTTAGCCTCATACCGGAGGACTCTGCTAGTTCCCATTCTACTCTCCCTCTTAAGAAATACACACGGGTCATGACCTCACAGATTGATTTCAGAATCGACTCATGGGCTTGGGAGAATTTGGAAACAAAACCACAGGGCTGAGCAGTGAGTACGACAGAACATGCTATGATATTAAATACAAGCAGTAGATAAGGGCCGGAGAGTGGACAGCCTTTTCAACCAGAGGACTGCTCTTCCTCTGTTCCCAGGGATTCTGACTTTCCAGCAGCTGTCCTTTCCCTTCAGCCCGAGGAACTTCCGGTAGCAATTCCTATAGTGTAGGTCGGCTCGTGATTCTCCTGGCTTGGGTTTAGCTCCAAAGGTGTCCTTTCCTCACCTTCTGATTTG